AATAAGCCATTCACTGCCAAAGAACAAATATAATCATTCTTTCCGATCAAGTACTTTAACCCTCTTGATTCAAATGACATAACCAAAAGACGTAAGACATCACCTACTTCCTATAACACACAACACCATATTCACATAATTGTTCATACATGTATATATTGTCACAGCAAAATCAATTACATAAATTTACCAATGGCTCCAGCAAATTATCTGCCCATATTAACTATAGCCTCTTTTGTAATCATCTAATACTTGTATTTTGTGTTTCAGTTTACATAATGTTAGTCCAAAAATGTCAGCTTCTATTATTTGAACACAATCCTATTATCAAGGTCACGTTTGTATTGTGCTGGTCCCGCTAACTCTGGGTAAAAGGTCAAACAGAAGAACAGTGACGCTGTCACCTGACCATCATGTCGGATGTTCCGTTATTTGAAAGGGCCAAGAACCGTGGATATCATGGTTTTGACAAAGGTAATATTTCAATAATACATTTCAAATACCTACTTTAGTTAACTAATAGTCGTGGGTGTCTGTGTTTTAGTATGTTACCTGTCCTGCAGTGATCAGTTCAATAGTTTTATAAGCTTACCGGTTACGCTGGACCATGGAGGTTAAAAGAAATGGTTTTGCGTTAACACCACGACAAACGAAATAACCGATAGCGAAACCAAGTGAGCTACAGAACTGCAGCTATTTCCTGGCACGTTTTTTTTTGCTGGTCTTGGAATTCGAAGTTAATTTTCTGCAGCGCACTGTTGTTGACTTGGAGTACATTGATTTAGTGTCAATGCAGAACGTGACACAATTGTACTGCTTTAAAGGAAACCAAATGTAAAAATACCAGCAATGCATTGCTGCAAATGCAAGGACGTTTTCATTGATTCCTAGAGAGATTCACACTCGTGTATCCATGGTGATAAGTCTTATAGTATTTATCACATGTATGGTGAGGCAAAAATTGTAACCTATGTAACCATGTGTAATTTCTGTGATAGCTAGACATAGTGGATACATTGTTTTATGACTGATCAGCCTAATAGAGTTATTATGGTACATACATGTACAAGTTGCTGCGTTGTGAAATAGTTCTACACTATCAAGGAGCGCATGTGATGCGGCTTAGAAAATAGTTCTGATTGTATTGTGCCATGCCCAGTGTTTATTTGTCACATTGATGAGTGACCTATTATTTGTTCTGATTAATCTGTTTATTCTGCTTATTATCACATGATTCATTCACATTATTAGTCAATTTGAGATAACTGGTCGCGCGCTCGTGGATTGACAGAGGAAGTAAAAAGGAAACCATGCGGGAGAGGAGGACAAATATGGTTCTGTGACCCAGGTCGTGCTCCGATCAGGTGACTTTCAGCCAATTAATGATGTTGTAACAAAGCATATTTGACGCTTGTTGAAGGGTTGTCATACCGTCCAATCTCCGTCGTCGATTCACATAGTTTTTTTGTGCTGTGGTAGCCTTCAAAATTATTTACTGAAAAAAATCGGTATATTTTGACAAACGGGTGGGATTTGACCTCAGTTCAAAAAGAAAAGAAATCAGCAAATCAGTTTTCTTTGCTTGCCAAGTTGTGAAATAAAGTAAACCAGAGTAGGGTCGATGATTTTCAGCCCTGAAGGACTTCCGAGCGAATCCTGATTTTCGAATTGTTCTTGACTGGTCAGCAATTATTTATGACTATAACTAAATTTGACACGTTTTTTCTGAAATAAATAATTCATACATGTCAAGTTCTGTTCGATTTTTCAGGGCTTGTGGCCATTTTTATTCGAAAAGAGTTTTGTGGAAATAATTTTATGGTACGCATAGGTCAAGCTCATTAACTGATCGTGACTTAATTTGGAAAATTGGATGTCAAATTTTACCAGACCAACCGCCTTTGGAGCAACAAGGGTTTGGTATCATTATTTTTGGAATTAATCATTAATATTCTCCTCGTTTCTCCACTCTGTCAAAAGGAGTTAGCTATACTTTTTAGTCTTATGTTTTGACCTCCATGTGTGCGTGCATGCGTGCGTCTGTGCGTGCGTCCGGACCTGTATCTTAGAAATGCCTGGACCAATCACAATCAAACTTCACACATACATCATACATGATATTATACATATGCACGTCAATTTGTTTCACGATCTGATTCAAGATGGCCGAATGGCGGCCATTTTTGTGCTAAAAATCATCAAAATCAAGCATTTCTCGGCTGTTTACTGATAGATTTTGTTCAAACTTGGTATATACATTAGACATTATAGGACCTTGATGCACATCATTTTGTTTCAAGATCTGATTCAAGATGGCTGAATGGCAGCCATTTTTGTGCCAAAAAAATTCTAAAAATCAACCATTTCTCGGCTGTTTACAGATGGATTTTGTTCAAACTTGGTATATACATTAGACATTATGGGACCTTGATGCAAATAATTTTGTTTCTCAGATAAGATTCAAAATGGCCGACTGGTTAATATTTTCACACTTTACTATCAAAACCACCATTTCGACCACTCATGTATCAGTAATCAGTGTTTGGGCGAGCGGCCAATGTTTTCAATGAGCGTGCGAAAAAAAAAGATTAAAATGCGGTTTCCGGTCGAACAAGACCGTGCGGTCGGAAATTAAGCAGAAGGTTGGTCGAAATGAGTACTGTATTTCATCATTTGTTATTATTTTAATTGGGTATTTATTTCTTCAAGTTGTCATCTTTAACATTTATATTGTTTTATATTAACACTGGTGACGGTGTTTTTTTTTTGTTTTCGGCGATTTTCTGTTCAATATTTACTGTCACTGACTGGGGTGACATTTTGAACTTACGAAGTGGTGCCAGTGCATGTTGCGTTGTCTTGTTCTGTTTTCCGATTAAAATGATACCTTTAGCGTTGGTTAGATTGATGAGGTCGTAACGTAAATACATACACAGGCTAGGCTGACTTCAATATGGCCCCACTGTGGGAAACTTGTTGGTCACGTAATATGATGGCGCGCCAGCGGCTGTTTATCTCGAAAGTGGGCTATTCACTGATGAGGGGCACGGTTGGAAAAACTTTGCAGTTACCCTGTCTGTATGTGTGTTATGTCTGTATGTCTGTGTGTGTGTGTGTGTGTGTGTGTGTGTGTGTCTGTCTGTTCCACTGATATCTCAAAAACCATGCATTGGTTTTTGATGAAACTTGGTTCATAGATGCTTTTAACTAATGCCAGGTTTTGATTAGTTTTGGGTGAAAATCTGTGCATATTAATTACCTAATTTGCATAATGATTAGTACATTTTCGGCTTTTCCACTGATATCTCAACTACTAATCATCACGTTTCAATGAAACTTGGTACCTAGATGTCATAGAACACTGCACAGTAGTTTTTTAGGGTAATATCAGTACATATTAATTACCTAATTTGCATAATAAATTATTTTCAGCTTTTGATATTTCAAGTAATAAGCTAATGCTTCAATTTCAATGAAACATAGATACTCAAGAACTATGCGGAGATCGATTGTTTTGGGGTAAATAATTGTGCATATTAATTAACTTATTTGCATAATTATGTAATTTTCAAATTTTCACTGATATCTCGAGTACTAATCATCATCTTTAAATGAATCTAACTATGCAGAGAGCCAATTAGTTGTTGGTATATATTCATGCATATTAATCTCCTAATTTGCATAATTAATACATTTTCAACTTTCACACTGTACAAGTACTAATCATCACATTTCAATGAAACTTTGTACAGTTGATACATATGATCAGTTTTGGGTAAAAATCTGTTCATATGAATTTCATAATTCTTTGGTTCTGATCACATTTCAATGAAATTTGGTACATAAATGATCTGTTACATCGGCAGATCTTATTAGTTTTACACTCTGTTCATTTTAATTTTCTGATTTGCATAATTAGTTTTCAGCTTTTCAATATCTCAAGTACAAGTAATTTTGAATTAATGTTTACTGTGTCTCTAATACTCTCAGCACACACACAGTTCTTTTTTGGCTTGGCTGATTTTGTACATACTTGACTGGTAGGTCGTACCGTCGCTGATTGGAAAAAAATCCTGGCCCACCACTGCCATTGGAACAGCCAAAAACTGATTTTTGAATACTTTCGCCAAAAATTCATTACCTCCTACCAGTTTTGTAATAGCAGTGTTCAAATGATCATGCTTTTTATATTGGCTACTTTGCGCACTGGTAAGATATCACTGGCTCTGGCTTAGTCTTTTACACGAAACGAAATGAAACCCTAACCCTAACTCACATTTTTTTCATTGGCCTA